ACACCCAGGTACCTATTTTACTGCTAGGTAACAGGGGCATAGGGTGACAAACTTATGGTCCTGGACCATTCTCAAGTCGATTGTCTCGAGGATGCACCGTCTTGCATAACCGACTTGAGAATGGTCCTGGACGGACCGAAACGTCGTCGTCCCTTCATTTTTCTAGTGTGTGGTCTGGTCAACAGTCTCAAGGTTTCTATATTCCTTCCTGGCATTGTTCCTCGCCTCCAAGAACCTCACATTGAAATTGAAATAAGTTTATTGATGTAAAATCCATACAAAGGGATGAGGTAGCTCAAGCTATTCTCACCCCGTTCAGTACATCGTGTTAATACATACATAGACACACATCACAAACAATAAACATATTACCAAACATTCTGAGAGATAAACATCTACATTTCCTACCTCACATTTAGTCCAATTTAATAGTTTTTGGACGTTTTTTTTATGTATTCAATATTACATCCGTTAATGTTGAAATTTCATATAAATATCGTATATATTTGGTAGTAATTTTTCAAGCAATGATTTTATAAACTTTCACTTCTTTTGCACTTTATCGTAGTTGATCATATATTTTAGAAAACTATTTTTTTTACGAAGTAAAGGATTTCACTTTGCTTCAGCAAGATCAAATCTTTCTCTAAGAAATCGGCCTTAAATAAACTCTTTAAATATGGTCGCCATCATTTTAGGGAGACGGTGGCTGGGCGGACAGAACACTGGACGTGTGATCCTGTGGTCCCGGATTCGATCCCGGTCGCCGGTGAGAAACAATGGGTAGAGCTTCTTTCACCCTGATGGCCGTGTTACCTAGCAGTAAAATAGGTACCTGGGAGTTAGTCAGCTGTCACGGGCTGCTTCCTGGGGGTGGAGGCCTGGTCGAGGACCGGGCCGCGGGGACATTAATCACCCAAAATCATCTCAAGATAACCTTTGTAGATGATAGTAATGTGCGGTTCTTATCATCCTCTACAAGGAACAGACAGTAGATGATAGTCCTATCAATACACACACAGAGATCACACTAACGTGATGCATCAAATGAACAAATCCACAAGGGCCGTGACGAGGATTCGAACCTGCGTCCGGGAGCATCCCAGACACTTGTCCTACCAATATTTCACGTTGTTTAACATTTAAGTTCACTTTAAAGTTGACCTGACTACATTAAGGAATAAGAAAGTTAGCAGCAGCAGCAGCAGCAACAGCAACAGCAGCAGCAGCAGCAGTAGCAGCAACAGCAACAGCAGCAACCGCAACAGCAGCAGCAGCAGCAGCAGCAGCAGCAGCAACAGCAGCAGCAGCAGCAGCAGCAACAGCAGCAGCAGCAGCAGCAGCAACAGCAGCAGCAGCAGCAGCAGCAGCAGCAGCAGCAGCAGCAACAGCAGCAGCAGCAACAGCAGCAGCAGCAACAGCAGCAACAGCAGCAGCAGCAACAGCAGCAGCAGCAACAGCAGCAGCAGCAGCAGCAGCAGCAGCAGCAGCAGCAGCAGCAGCAGCCGCAGCAGCCGCAGCAACAGCAGCAGCAGCAGCAGCAGCAGCAGCAGCCGCAGCAGCCGCAGCAACAGCAGCAGCAGCAGCAGCAGCAGCAGTAGCGTTTTCACGTGTGGGCAACTGCGGTTAATGGCTGGTAATGAGTGTTAAGCCTGTGAGGCATCGTGAGCTATCATTATTTCAAAGAATAATACTGTTAAACCATCACCCCGCGGCAGACAACTGCACAGCCTTGAACAGCTCTCCAGTCTTGCGGACGACACCTTCTCCCCCTGCAGCCGTGAAGCCAGAGTGACTGCCTATGGCTACCCTGAAGGCAGGGAAAATTAGAAGCCACACTGCGGAATTGGCGCCATTAAGCTGGCAGAGCCCAGAGGGGCACCGGCGCCAGCCGATACCCGCCCGAGGCGCTGGGGGGGACTGGAGGAGTTTCCCTTCTGTAGCACCACGTGGGCCAGGCTGGCCAGCACGTGGGAGGGGGCCAGGCTGGCCAGCACGTGGGGGAAGGGGCCTAGGCTGGCCACCACGTGGGGGGGGGCCTAGGCTGGCCAGCACATGGGAGGGGGCCAGGCTGGCCAGCACATGGGAGGGGGCCAGGCTGGCCAGCACATGGGAGGGGGCCAGGCTGGCCAAGCTTCTTCCGTCAACTGGGGCCTCACAATTTACATATCAACACTTATAATCTGATGTGTTTACATTTATAAATGCTGCTCAAAGCAATGCGACAATATTCCCCTTGCTGTATTAAATTTGCTAATTAGCGATGTGCCATTTTCAATGGTGAATCGTAACTTAAGGTGTATCGTAGCGTAATGTTAGCTTTTAAGCTGTTGCTGCTTCCACCTGTTCATTGCCCTTTCTCGCCTCTGAAAGGTTGTGAATAATGGCAATTCCATTTGTCGCTGGTGGCGTATCATGATGGTTATCTTGAGGTTATCTTGAGATGATTTCGGGGCTTTTTAGTGTCCCCGCGGCCCGGTCCTCGACCAGGCCCCCACCCCCAGGAAGCAGCCCGTGACAGCTGACTAACTCCCAGATACCTATTTTACTGCTAGGTAACAGGGGCATAGGGTGAAAGAAACTCTACCCATTTGTTTCTGCCTCGTGCGGGAATCGAACCCACGCCACAGAATTACGAGTCCTGCCCACCAGGCTACCAGGCCCCAGATCATGTTAACAAATATTTTATAAAAGTTTTTGGCATCCGGCAAGAGGGGCCCGGGCAAGGGTACCCTTGTGTTTGAAGCAAAGCAAACAGGGTATGCGTGTGTGGGGGCATAATGTGTAGTAACCTTGTGTGGCGGAGGAACTAATCCATATACGCGCACATTCCTCTACACGATACATTTACATAAAAAAAACTTGTCATTGTTGTCACAAGAGGGAAGAATGCATATCGGGCGCAACCCGTTCTCGCACTTTCTTACAGTCAATATTGACTTATTAAATACGTGTATATGTGACATACTAAACATACTAGTTTACCTTGAAAAGCTTCATATTAAACACCGACCTTACCTAACCTTCTTAGTATGTTAAGATAAGCATCTTATTGCTTCGTAATTACAATTATTACTTAACCTATTATAATATTACAATTATTACTTAACCTATTATTGGTATAGGTTCAGTAATAATTGTAATTACGAAGCAATAAGATGCTTATCTTAACATACTAAGAAGGTTAGGTAAGGTCGGTGTTTTCTAGGAAGCTTTTCAAGGTAAACTAGTATGTTTAGTATGTCACATATGCACGTATTTATTAAGTCAATATTGACTATACGAAAGTGCGAGAACGGGTTGTCGGGCGAGGGGGGGGGGGAATGTTTGCTGATTCAGCCTCGTTAAGTCCCAACATCGTTTGTACCGAGTTTAAACAAAACAAACTTGGTTCGTGTTTTATAACAACGGTCGCGTGTAAAACAGATTACCGTTAAATTTGGCGGTTAGCCTAACAGGTGTCGCTCATGCCATAAACAGGATGAAAGATTTCATAAACTGTTTAAGGGGTCTGGATTCCACCTCGGGCGTCCTCTTGAACAGTTGACAATGTAAACATATTTGAGCATTTAACCAATTCCTTATTCTCGTAGCCAAACAAGACTAAATAATTCCCCCAAATTAGGTAGAATTAGGCTTTATATTCTAAATTAAATACGCTGTAAAATTAGAAACCATTTTTTTTGGCAGGTGCACAAGAGAAATTAGCTTCAGGTAGAGAACCATGATGGTAGATCACAAACAGGCTGTAGTGGTTGTAAGTAGTTAACAGGACTGACTTGTAGTGTTGTAGAACCAGGCATCCTTGTGGGATTGAAAGGGGGGTGGGGGTTGTCTCCATACACCAGCCAGCTGATCTCAAACAACGTTTAATATCATTGTTTACAAACAAAGAGTTTCCATGAACGTTTCGAGAATCCGAGAATCTTTGCACGATCACAACAGTCAATTAAATCATTGTCAATTAACCGTTGTCAGTCAATTAAACTATTAAGACATTGGTTTTTTGTTCTGTAAATATGTGGTCGCTGGTTCGTGAGCTCCGACTGAAACTGAAGGTAAACGGGTATTATTAAAGCTTCTTTCTCCAACTTTGGTACGCGAAAGCTTTAAGCGTGTTCAATATTTTCTGCCAGTAGTCAACTAACTGGTTTGTATTGAGGTTTGGGTCAAGTGGCTTATATTATTACTCGATTGTACCGTAATTGTCTTGTTTAATATGTAGGATCAGATACCATTATGTAGGATCAGATACCATTATGTAGGATCAGATACCATTGTGTAGGATCAGATGCCATTATGTAGGATCAGATACCATTATGTAGGATCAGATGCCATTGTGTAGGATCAGATGCCATTATGTAGGATCAGATACCATTATGTAAGATCAGATACCATTGTGTAGGATCAGATGCCATTATGTAGGATCAGATACCATTATGTAGGATCAGATGCCATTGTGTAGGATCAGATGCCATTATGTAGGATCAGACGCCCATTGTGTAGGATCAGATGCCATTATGTAGGATCAGATGCCATTATGTAGGATCAGACGCCCATTGTGTAGGATCAGACGCCCATTGTGTAGGATCAGATGCCATTATGTAGGATCAGACGCCCATTGTGTAGGATCAGATGCCATTATGTAGGATCAGATGCCATTATGTAGGATCAGATGCCATTATGTAGGATCAGATGCAATTGTGTAGGATCAGACGGCCATTGTGTAGGATCAGACAACCATTATGTAGGATCAGACAACCATTATGTAGGATCAGACAACCATTATGTAGGATCAGACAACCATTATGTAGGATCAGACAACCATTATGTAGGATCAGACAACCATTATGTAGGATCAGACGCCATTATGTAGGATCAAACACCATTATGTAGGATCAAACACCATTATGTAGGATCAAACACCATTATGTAGGATCAAACACCATTATTTAAATGTGATTCATGGTCAACCTAATCCCATTTTTCTTGTTCTACAGACCCGGTGAAGGCAGCGCGGCCAGGCGGGCCAACCAGCGGGCCGCGTGGACCGCTCGTGGGTCACAATGGACCGGGCCAGCAGCAGCAGCATCCAGTGCCGCATGCGGACCAGCTGCGGCGCCTGGAGGCCGAGGTGGCGGCCCGGACTGCGGAAGTCAAGGCCGCACGCGCAGAGCGGGACCAGGCTGGCCGAGGCCTCGAGGCCCTTACTGTCCTCATGCATCACCTCACTAATACGGTGAGTACCTCGCTAATACGGTGAGTACCTGACTAATACGGTGAGTCCCCTCACTAGGGACTTACTAATACGGTGAGTGCGTCACTAATACGGTGAGTGCCTCACATACACTTCTCTCGCTCCATACACACACCTGCCGCTCGCTGAACAAATCCACAAGGACCGTGACGAGGATTCGAACCTGCGTCCGAGAGCATCCCAGACGCTGCCTTAATCGACTGAGCTACGACATGGTAAAAGAATTGCAACCGGGAAAATCATCCTGATCTACCAACGGATCCTGTAGTCTCTCCTAGACATCCTGGTGGTGTATACTTTTCATTTATACAATACACCTTCTAACTCTACACCTTCACAATCCACCTGGATATGTCTGAGTAAATCCACAGGTGCTGGATCCTGCTGGATTATGTTTATGGGGACATTTGCAGAGATTAAATCCCAATAACGTGACTCAAAACCCACCAATCCATACATGAAAGTCTAGAGCATAGCATGATAGTATTAGATCCTATACACACTACAGGCACCCATACGTTCTGGCGTAGAGAGAGAGGAGGGAGGGGGCGGGCTAAGGTAGATGCTCGTAGACAAAGAGCAGTCTACTGTGTAGACATCAGTGCCGCGGCTTGTCAACTTCCCTTCAGCTAATGCAAGAAATATTGAGGGTGGTTGTTGTTATAGATTCAGCTACTCGGAACAAGTTCCAAGTAGCACGGGCTATGGTGAGCCCGTGATATTGAGGGGAACAAAGATTAGATCAGACGAGACGGAAGAGTGAGAGGGGACATACTGCATGTTTTTGGTGGTTTATGAAACTATTCCCACTTATGATTCAGCTCGCCCTCGTCGACAAAGCCTAAATGCTCGTTTAGCCGGGAAAACCCCTTTTTATGGAGGAAACTCGGTTTATACACGACTCTGAACTGTTAACATTCGAACATTTATTGAGCAATGCTTCACTGGCTGTTGTTATAGATTCAGCCACTCGAAACCAATTCCAAGTAGCACGGGCTATGGTGAGCCCGTAGTGGACTTACCTGGCACAAGAGTGGTGCTGTGTGCTTCACTAGCGATCTTTGTTCGAACCACAACTCGGTAAATGCTTCACGTACTACAAATAATCGCCAACAGAACCTAAACACTTAACCATTACCTAATCTACGCCTAACTTTACATAGAACTTTAATATAGTATATAATATATGAGAGCAAACTCGCTTTTTTAATGCACAATAAGTAAAAAATAATGACTCCTTGACCAGACCACACACACTAGAAGGTGAAGGGACGACGACGACGTTTCGGTCCGTCCTGGACCATTCTCAAGTCGATTGTGAGAATCAATCACAACCGACTTGAGAATGGTCCAGGACGGACCGAAACGTCGCGTCCCTTCACCTTCTAGTGTGTGGTCTGGTCAACATACTTTAGCCACGTTATTGTGACTCCTCGCCTACATAATGACTCCTCCTTTGGGGTACGGACGCTACTGTACCGAGCCTGGCCCGAGGACAGGTTGTATGATAACAGGACAGGTTGTATGATAACAGGAAAGTTTGGGAAAGGCTTGGGATGCGAAGGGGTAACCAGGAGTACCACCTAAACAACAAATCGGTCAGAGTGAGAGAGACGTCAGTGGACGTCAGAGCCGATATGACCAGCGAAGTCCCTCTTCAGTCAATTGATATCTTTACGGCCTTAGAGTTTGCGCTATCTTTAACTCTGTCCACAGTTTAACATGGGTAATATTAGGCAGGTGAAGCCTGACACCAGGTATGCTGCCGCTCCAGGTATGCTGCCGCTCCAGGTATGCTGCCGCTCCAGGTATGCTCCAGGTATGCACTAGGGATGCGGTGATGTGGGAGCGGTGTGGATTATGCAGAGTGCAAGAGGGCGTCTCCTCAGCGATGCTATCATATCACCTGTTACAATGGACGGTGATAGTGAGAATGTGACATAAATGGAGTATCCTGCCTCGCCCCACGGGAGACATCTCCCGTCACGCAGGGTGCAGTCGCGCCTCCACAGATCTCCAGTATCAGCTCTTGATACTGGTGATGGCTCAAAAGGGCTTACCACTTACGGGCTATTCATGCCCGTGCCACCTCTTGGGTGGCTTAATCTTCATCAATCAATCAATCTGCCTCGCCCGTGCGGCGTGTATACGGTGAACTAAGGCATGCGTTAGCAAGATGGTTATCGAGAGGGTTCTCGTACAAAGACGTGTCCCATTATGACACATCCGCCAGGATTTCCTCTGGATCAATTTCCCCTCAAACTGGTCTCTGGCCAGGGCCTCCTGATTGGTGTTCTGATCAACCAGGCTGTTGGACGCAGATGCTTACAGTGTGGATATAAAATGCAGCCCGGTTGATGAGGTATCCTTTGGAGTAGTTTCATCCTGCTTACGGTTAGAGGCGTGTTGACCAGACCACACACTAGAAATTGAAGGGACTTGAAGGAAATTGAATCGACTTGAGAATGGTCCAGGACGGACCGAAACGTCGTCGTCCCTTCAATTTCTAGTGTGTGGTCTGGTCAACATACTTCAGCCCCGTTATTGTGACTCATCGCCTGCATTAGAGGCGTGTCCTAATCTGTTGTTTAAGGCTAAGTTGACCAGACCACACACTAGAAGGTGAAGGGAAGACGACGTTTCGGTCCGTCCTGAACCATTCTCAAGTCGATTGTGCTAGCTAACTAGATTGCTAGCTAGATCGTTCAAGGCTAACGTTGGATAAGACTCTTCCGGAGTAATATCTTTTGAGGACTAGTCAAACTGGCCTTCGAGAAGCTTTTTCTATAAATATAGTACGAATCGCAGTGGGGTAAATTGTGAGGGACCGTTCGTGGTAATCCGTGTGGACAAGAACTGGCACACAATTAGAAACAAACTAATATTTATTTCTACTGCCGTCGGGGATCGAAACCCGGAACCTCAGGACTACGTATCCGAAGCGCTGTCCACTCGGCTGTCAGGCCCCATCGATATAGGTGATGCAGGGGGGGGGGGGGAGCATGAAGACATAGGTATATTGTACTCATAATGCAACCTGTTCTCGCCATAGCACATTGCATTTTTGACGTATATGTCACCTAAGGCCAAAAACTCTCGCACTAGAAGATGATAGCGGCTTGTAGCCCCGCTCCTGTGCCAAGCAAGTCCACTACGGGCTCGCTATAGCCCGTGCTACTTGCCCCGCTCCTGTGCCAAGCAAGTCCACTACGGGCTCGCTATAGCCCGTGCTACTTGCCCCGCTCCTGTGCCAAGTAAGTCCACTACGGGCTCACCATAGCCCGTGCTACTTGCCCCGCTCCTGTGCCAAGTAAGTCCACTACGGGCTCGCCATAGCCCGTGCTACTTGCCCCGCTCCTGTGCCAAGCAAGTCCACTACGGGCTCGCTATAGCCCGTGCTACTTGCCCCGCTCCTGTGCCAAGTAAGTCCACTACGGGCTCGCCATAGCCCGTGCTACTTGCCCCGCTCCTGTGCCAAGCAAGTCCACTACGGGCTCGCCATAGCCCGTGCTACTTGCCCCGCTCCTGTGCCAAGCAAGTCCACTACGGGCTCGCCATAGCCCGTGCTACTTGCCCCGCTCCTGTGCCAAGTAAGTCCACTACGGGCTTGCCATAGCCCGTGCTACTTGCCCCGCTCCTGTGCCAGGTAAGTCCACTACGGGCTCGCCATAGCCCGTGCTACTTGCAACATTGTGTTCCCAGTAGCTGAATCTTAAACAACAGCGAAATTGAACATGTTCTGTTTTAGGTCCTCTGGTAGGTTAGGATAAGGGGCACTTTAGTACGGCACTTTCTTGACGCTGGGAAACCTTACGAGGGCGGGGAAGGGGGTTGGGGGGGGGGTGACGCAGGCTCCCCCACGCCCCTCACACCATACAAGGTTTCCTCTACTTCACTTAATAATACAATTCCTGTTTTTTTAACAATTATAAATTTCTTAATTTCCATATAGGAGACCACTATATTTGAGGCTATGGCCGGGCTCGGGGAGTAGAACAACTCGTGAAACCCGCTCCAGGTATGTTCCAGGTATTGGTGCCGACTTCCCCACACCACCCCCCTTCAGAGCACATCCCCACTAGGTTGGGGTTGTGGTGGTGTGTGTTCCCCCTTCCCCCAGGGTGGGGGGGGGGTGATGCTCTCTCCTCTGGGGAGGGGTGTCCCCCCAAAGTAGGGAGTGTGGGTCCCCTAGGGGGGTCTCCTACCCAAGGGTGAGGGGTGGGCGACGTGCCCCAAGGTAGGGGGGGGGTGCGGTGTGCCCGAAGGTAGGGGGGGGGGGCGGTGTGCCCCAGGGGGGGTGTGTGTCAGAGCCGTAAGGTCAGCCACGGTCACAGACCCCGGAGCAAGACCTGGGGGGGGGGGGTCTAGCCAGGAAGTACTGGTAGTGGTGGTGGTTGATGCTGGTAGTGTGTTGGGGGGTGGGGGGAGGAGGGGTTAGAGGGGAGGGGTGCTCCCTGGTGGTGCTTGTGGTGGTGGGGCTAGTTGTTGTGGTTGGCGAGGGTGGTGGTGGTAGTGCCCCAAGCACTAATGTTTACCTCCAACTTCCCGTTACATAAATCAACACCCAACCACCACCCCCACCACCACCACCCCCACAACCCCTACCACCCCCACTACCACCACCCCTACCACCCCCACCCCTACCACCCCCACCAACCCCTCCCCCACCACCCCCACCAACCCCTCCCCCACCAACCCCTCCCCCACCCCCACCAACCCCTCCCCCACCCCCACCAACCCCTCCCCCACCCCCACCAACCCCTCCCCCACCCCCACCAACCCCTCCCCCACCCCCACCATCCCCTCCCCCACCAACCCCTCCCCCACCACCACCACCACCCCCACCACCACCACGCCCCCCCCCCAGGCTCCCCCCCCCCCTCGTCATGCACAAATATAACTGCACAACCAGTTTCGTGTTTCTAGTGGCAATGACTTGCTGCTCTCTAATCAAATATTAATTAATAACACATTTTATTAAA